TAATATGGCTTTAAGTCATCATTCACAGACTCTTCAGGCCAACCATTCTTACAGTACTCATATAATTTTATTAAGCACTCATCTTTTTGTGTTTCTCTTTTAATATCATTCACATTTATATTGGAGTTATCCATGATAGTGAAGAGAACCAATACATCTTCTGGTACATAGCTCAGGCTTTGGTTTTCTAAAGGTAATCTACTAAGACTATCTGCACTATTCTCAGATCCAGGTTTGTATTTCAATTCATAATTGTATGCAGTTAATGTGATAGCCCATCTTTGAATTCTTGGTGAGGCATGCTCAGGTAGGGTTTTGTTTTCTCCAAATAAACCTAGCAATGGTTTATGATCTGTAAAGATGGTGAACTTCCTACCAAACAGAAACTTATGAAATTTCTTAACACCAAAAATGATGCCTAAGCCTTCCCTATCTAACTGAGAATAATTTTTCTCAGCCTGGTTCAAAGATCTACTGGCAAAAGCAATGGGTCTGTCACCCTTCTCATCCATGTGGGACAAGACTGCTCCTACACCATCTGGTGAAGCATCACATGTTAATATAAGTCTTTTCCCTGGGTCATAGTGAGTTAGTAAGGTGTCAGCAGACAAAGCCTCTTTTGCTGTATTAAAAGCAGCTTCTTGTTGTTTACCCCAGTGCCAAGTTGCATTTTTCTGTAGCAGCTTGTACAGTGGTGATAGTTTACCAGACAGATTTCCTATGAACTTTGCATAGTAATTTATCAAGCCCAAAAAAGCTCTTAGTTGTTGGGTATTTTCAGGTTTGGGTGCTTCTTTAATGGCTTTTGTTTTCTCAGGTTGAGGTCTGATACCTTGCTTGCTTAATATATAACCAAGAAAACTAATTTCTGTCAGCATGAATTGACATTTATCTTTGTTTATCTTTAAACCTTTTTCACCAACAATTTTCAATACTTTATCAAGTGTTTTAAGATGTTCAGTGTCATTCTTACCAGTTATGTACACATTGTCAAAGTACACACAAACATTTGGAATATCCTTAAAAATACTGTCCATGACAGCTTGGAAAATTCCAGGGCTAGATGATATGCCAAAACATAGTCTTTCATATTGGTAGAGTCCTTTATGTGTGTTTATTGTCGTATAGACTTTTGAATCTGGATGCAGTTCTAGTTGAGTGTAAGCATGACTAAAGTCTAATTCAGTGAATTTGTCTCCTCCTGCCAAATTCAAAGAAATTTCCTCAATGTTAGGTATAGGGTACCTATTTAGCTCTATTTGCTTATTCAGTGTAGTTTTATAATCTCCACAAATTCTTATAGAACCATCCTTCTTTAACACTGGCACAATGGGCGTTGCCCAATCGGAATAGTCTACCTTCTTTATGATGCCATTAGATTCCAATCTACTTAGCTCATTTTCAATTTTATTCCTCATTGCATAAGGTGGAACTCTAGCTTTGCAGTATCTTGGATTTGTGTCTTTAATGCTTAACTTCACTGTTCTATCATTTAGTAATCCTGGATTACCAAAAACACATTTATTTTCAGATATAACTCTATCTAGTGAAGTAAGACTAGATTCTTTTACATTCTTCAATGAACAAATACTCTCCCAATTTAACTTAAGATCACTTAACCAGTTCCTACCTAGTAATGGCGGTCCATTTCCTTCAACCACAAGAAGAGGAAGTTTAACACTTTGACCATTATAACTTACATGAACCATACACTCTCCTATTACCGGAACATTGTCACCAGTGTATGTTGTTAGACACTTGTGACACGGCTGTAGAGACACTGATCCTCCTGTGACAGCGTCAAAATCTTTCTTTGTGATGACTGTTAGTGATGCTCCAGTGTCAAGTTGGAAGCTGATGCTCTTACCGTTGATATTAACTTGTACATTGATGGGAGCATGACTTATTGATTTCACAGAGAACAGGTTGAAATCCGGCTGCGAATCAGTTTGAGCATTTTCACAGGTAGAGTGGTTCATTGGTTGGGTTAGGTAGTCTTGGTGAGAGTTAACATAGTGCTGCCTTTGGTTGCGGTACTGTCTTGACTGGCTAGATTTAGCAACAGACGAAGACTTTGCGAAGCAGGCCTTAGCAATGTGACCTTGCTTACCGCACTTATAACAAGTTGCAGACTTGAACTTGCACCGATGAGATGCATGGGGACCTTTGCATCGATGACATTTTTGATAATTATTACTAGATTTAGATCTAGGATTTGAACGAGCAGGCTGTTTAGCATAAGTTGGAATGCTCTGATGGGTTTGATGTTTATTGACTAACCTGCTGTTTACTGCATGGATCCCTGAAGGCGTTAGAGATTTCGCCGCATCTGATGACTGCTGGATTGAAGTTGCAAGTTGTATTGCTTTTTCTAATGTTAGATCTGACTCGAGCAGCAACTTTCTTTGTATATCAGGGCTGTTTACACCTGTCACAAACTTTTCACATAGTCTGTCAGACAGCGTGTCTCCGAATTCACAAAATTCACTTAAATGACGTAAAGCAGCAACATATTCTGATATTGACTCGTTTGGTTGACGAGTCCTACTGTCAAATCTAGCTCTACATAAAAACTTTGATGGGGTAGGCGCATGGTGGTCTGTTAGCAATTTGCTCAGCTCGTTAAAGCTCTTGGTAGTTAGACTAGCTGGTGCGCATAAGTCTTTTAGTAGCCTAAATTGTTGAGGCCCTATGACTGTTAACAAAACAGCTCTCTTTTTGGCTTCTATCGTCACGTTGTTTGCTTCTAGGTAAAAGCTTAACCTCTCTAGGTAATCTTGAATGATTTCATCATTCGCATCAAATTCTTTTATTTGGCCATACAGCGCCATAATTCTAGAAATAATTAGCTAATAAGCTCTAGCAAACCTCTTTTTTGCGTAAGTAGGTGCTCTTTCTAGTAGATGTTTATCCTTCGTCGCCAGTTATAATAGATTGACGACAGAAGCCTGTGGTTGTATATAACACGTTTAATGGGTCTAACTACCACGATGGTAACACACAGAGAGGACCGGAAGGAAGTACCCAAGGGACATCACTCAAGATAACAATATTATAAATATAACTAATACAGAAGAGTGAGTTCCCTTGACCTCACAATTATTTCAATCTATTACAATGGCATTTTGTTTTGATAACCTGCAAGCATACTGCAGGTAGGAATGTACAGCGTGGACCCCTCTCCCAACACACTATGTTGGAACAGCCTGTAACCGACTCATTTATGGAAGTCATAGATACTATCTGTTATAATAGATAAACTATTGTAAAAATAAGACCTGCCGTTGTATTACTTAAGAGTGTTGGATAAGCTAACTCTAAAGAATACTAGGCATGCTGCCAGTGTTTCTTCCAGACTTTTTTTCTCCGGGGGGGGCACTTAAAATTTTCGGGGGGGGGGGGGGCGGTAGACTTTCTTCGGGGGGGGGGGGGCGGACACTGTTAAAAGTATATATTTTCTATATTAATTATATAAATTTCATTTCGTTCGGGGGGGCGGTAGAAATTTTTCGGGGGGGGGGAGGCAAAGACCCCCCCCCCCCCCCGAAGAGATGCCTGGAAGAAACTCTGCATGCTGCCGAGCTTCGCTTAGGCTTTGGAAAACATTAAGAATTTTAATGGTTAATTAATTCGCCCGAGGGTCGGTCTACAACCTCAGCAGTTATGAAGAGGTTCCTACGTGAACTTTTTTTTTCGATTTATAGCTCATATAAGGCGCCGGTCAGTCGAGGTCAATTTTAACCCCCTCATCGTAGACTTTTCGGCCAACCGGCCCCCGTGTTCTGTCGCCCCAAGGCAAGATCCTGCCAAAGTTGAAGCGCCTGCGGGCACCCGACAACTTTGCTTTATATGTTATAGAGATTAGCAAATTGCATAGATAATCAAAGATTTCAATAAAGTAATTAAGCCTTACTAGAAATGTATTATTGGAATAGATTCTAGATATAGGTAGGGTCTACATCTGTGTAAGTCTAGTTTTTCCGTAGATCTATATCATTTAGATCTAGAATCTCTAGATCTAGAATCCTAATAGATTTTTTTTTTTAAAGTTTAGCCCGAGCAAAATTGTATTGTATAAATTTTAGAGCGTACGTAGATCTAAATCAAATTTGAATGAAATAGTTCATTTCTTTTTATTCTAAACACGGCAGATGACGTCATTAGTTAAGGTATAAACATTAGTGACGTCACTGTTTTATGCATTATTTTTAACAACTATAAACGTTTTTCCTGTTGCATAATTAAAACTGTTTCTCTACATTCGAATACGCCTTTATTTTTTATTTTCTTCTTTAAATAAAATTGTGGTTATACATTTAAAACATCTAACATATTATTTTCAACAAAAGTCCGTATAAAGGTATCCATATATCGCTGCCGATATATATATCCGGTGATATCCGGCGAAAATATTTTGCGGACAGAGAGAGAGAGAGAGAGAGAGAGAGAGAGAGAGAGAGAGAGAGAGAGAGAAGTGCCCACATGGGCTATTATATATTAGGATTGATGAAGGGGACAAACTGGCAGGTGTCATATTCAATTAGCCCGTTTTGCAGGGAGATTTAGTGTCTGCAGAAACCGTATTTTCAGTGGTCCTTTAGTCGGGAGCCAAATTGACATGAGCCTATTTGTCGTGAGCCAAAATGACGGGAGTCTATTTTTCGGGAGTCGTAACGACGGGGGCCGCTTTGTGGAGAAACTAAATGGCGGTAGCCTGTATGTCGGGAGCCTAAATGACGGGAGTCTATTTGTCGGGAGCCTATATGACGCGGTCCGTATGTCGCTGGCCCTTTTGACGGGGTCGTTTTGACGGGGCTGTTTTGTCATTGGCCGTTTTGACGCCGCACGGATTTACACAAATTAGTTGCAACAAATAGCGCAATATTAAAATAATGGGATTCATTCATTGATTTTTTTTTTAATTACTAGCATGTATTTTATTTTCAAACGGATCAATATTTGTCTTTTATTGTATTTTTCTCTCATTTACAAACGCTTAGACCAGACATGCAAGCGCCCAGTGAACCGACCATCGTAACGACGAAAGAAACATCCAGAAGGGTCAGCTTGACCGGAGATGTTGCTTACAGCAAAGTGGAATTGAAACCTTCCAGTTCTAGATTAGAATTACTCAAAGGTAAGCTTAACCCTAACACAAACTTTCCCTTCATCATCTTTGATTCATTTAGATTCATGTAGATTCGTGTAGATTCGTGTAGATTTGGCATTCCTCCAAGTTGGGTCAATCATGCTACTTCTGCTTCACTGGCAGCGGATATTTTCTAAGTATGTTTTGGCCTAACCACTTCGCAGTTTTTGTTTGGTATTTCAATCGTATGTTTGTCTCGTTATGTTGTATGTTTGGTATGTGCAAGGTGTGCAAGAAGTTTTCCCCTGAAAAAATCAAAAGGTACGGTTTATCCTGAGCAGAATGTAAAGGGAAGCTCTACCCTAATCTAATTGGGGTGCAACACTTGTCAATTTGGTGGTTTAACTTAATCCTAATGCTAAAGGCTTTCATTTTTATTAATTTAAAAATATATAATCAATGCACAACATTATTATAAATATTATTTATATTTTAAGTTTGTGTTCAATATATTGTATGTTTATCACGTGTTGGTAGTATTTAAGTATTAGAGTTCGTTTTCCTTAATGTTTGTTCCTAACTACAATTTTTTTAGAAGAAAAAAGAAATTAAATCTTGACTAAATATTTTCACGTGTTAACCCTAGAACAAAAATGTGATCTTGTGTTAACCCTTTAACAAAAGTATTTATCTATATATATAATTCTCCTCTTCGAGCCGTTAGAAAACAAGCTGCAAACGCTCTCCCTACCTCCCCACCCCTACATGGTTTTAGTGAGCTGTGTTCACTCTAAATGTTTACAAGCAGAGCCAACGATTTTAAACGTAGGGGGGGGGGGGGAGGGGGGGAAGGAAGGGGGGGGGGGGGTTATGGTCCTTAACGAGCTACTTATAGTGTTTTAAAGAAATATTTTCAGTGTCAGCGTTGGTACTGTCTAATTCACAAATTATGAATTATTGAAAATTAGAAACAACTAAATAGCGGCGTATGTTATGCCGCGGGCCGGCTCGTACGTATTAATTCTTTAACTAAAATGTGTTGGTGTGTTAACCCTTTAACAAAAGTATGGATGCGTATTAACTCTTGAACTAAAATGTGTTCGTGTGTTAACCCTTTCACAAAAGTATGGATACGTATTAACTCTTGAACTAAAATGTGTTGGTGTCTTAACCCTTTAACAAAAGTATGGATGCGTATTAACTCTTTAACTAAAATGTGTTGGTGTGTTAACTCTTAAACAAAAGTATGGATGCGTATTAACTCTTGAACTAAAATGTGTTCGTGTGTTAACCCTTTAACAAAAGTATGGATACGTATTAACTCTTGAACTAAAATGTGTTGGTGTGTTAACCCTTTAACAAAAGTATGGATGCGTATTAACTCTTTAACTAAATTGTGTTGGTGTGTTAACCCTTTAACAAAAGTATTTATACGTATTAACTCTTGAACTAAAATGTGTTGGTGTGTTTTCCACCAGATTTCCCTGCGGCCATGTTGCGGCTGGTCAAGCGTCCAGTCTACATCTTGATTCTAGTTGACATTGCAATCATCTCTATACCAACAAAAGGCATTGCCATGTTCCGCAACATGTACATCACAAACGAATACAATGTACCCATGTCGGAAGTCGCCTATGCCTCAGGTTCAATTCGAATACGTTAACGTGCTAGTTACAAAAACATTTTAACATTGTTGTTCAATATGACATATTCAACCATTTTCAACATGCTATATTTTATCATTTTCAATATTACATACACTATCATTTTCAACATAACATATTTTATTATTTTAATAAACGACTTATCTTGACGTATCCTTCTATGATTTTCAACATGACCCATTCTATAATTTCGTTAGATATACGCTATCATATATACTCTGTCATATATATTCTATCATATATACTCTATCATATATACTCTATCATATATACTATATCATATATACTCTATCATATATACTCTATCATAAATACTCTATCATATTTAATTAACAAAAAATATGAACTTAGCTTTTATTAAATGGGATCCAGACAAAATGCCGACACGGACAAAATGCCGACACGGACAAAATGCCGACACGGATAAAATGCCAATATGGTCAAAAGGCCGATGTCTAATTGACGGAATCAAAATGAAGACACACAAATGCCGACAGGACATAGGCCCTACGGCCGTTAAAACACAAAATTATTTAATTACAATATTTTGTCTAGTAAGATAATTGAACTTGGGTATATTTGTTTATTTATTTACTATTAACTGCCGTACCCGTCGCGCGCGTTGCTGTGACATTTTTTAATAAGAGTTTTACTTATGTTTTATTAATCGTGCATTTTTAGATATGTGACCTTGTTTACTAAATAGAAATTATTGTAAACAAAGTCGGTGCTATATTTCTTGGATTATAGTTGATTGGGGCGTGGGTTATAGTTGATTGGGGCGTGGGTTTGGGGTGTGCCCACACAACCGCCCTAACGCCCTAACGCCATGGGGCTGCTGTATTAAGATAGGCAAATCTTCACACCGCTTACATTGCTTATCATTCCATATTTAACTAGTCTAATAAGGATACTCAAAAAGCTAAAATAAATAGTTTGTACTAAGCAAATTAAAAAGCGATATCTTCTCTTTTAAATATTAATAAAAATATGACATACTAAAGAACAAATACAGCTTATGCTAATAAAAAAAATTGAATGCAAATTCTGCGGACGTTCAAGAGGAAATTATTGTTATAATATTATAATTAGCATGGATTAAAAAAGAGAGTGTGTATTGGTACTTAGCTACAAATAGCCCTCAGAAGGCTATTCGTACTTCGCTATTTTTAACCGACAAATCAA